GGATTACCTTCTCTGAAGACTGTGCCAACATTATTAAGGATAATTATCTGGCCATTTATGTTCACATTGGTGAGAAACCTTTGATCATAAATTTGATATAGTAGTAATTTTTACAGGAAGCATAGAGTATTTTAGTAAATGCTGTCTATTTCTCTTGCAGAGCAGCATACAAAGACACCCCTGAGCTTAATTCATTTAAATATAGTCCACCAACTACACGATCATCTACATCCAAAACAGCTGAGCGTTCTAGCAATGATAATCGGCTCTTCGTCCGTGGTCTAGGTTCCTTTAAATTCGAACACCGGAATATACTTGAAAGTCTTCTTTGTGCACGAAATGATGCAACATTACTCTGCACTCCGGAAGACAGGCGTTTTCTGTATTACATGTTACCTTGTGCTTATGAGAATGCTAAGAAAAGGTAATTTCTTCCTGTGTGCTCAACTCAAACCTATTATTCTGCACAGTGACAAACATGCTATAATTCACAATGACAGGTTACAAGTCAGCAATGAGCAAGAAGAAAGTTCATTGACTGCAAAGAAGCGCAAGCAAAATAGGAAAGATAAGAAACAAGCAAAGTCATAATAGAGTAGTATGTAGAAACTTTGCTACACTCCAAATAGAATTCTCATCAAAGGAAAGAGGAGAATAAGATTCTTATCAAATTAAACTTGTAAAGTTAGTTACTAGATTGCATAAAATGACATTCTTATATAATAAATTGGCTTTAAATCCATTTCACAAGTCACTTGAGAGTAGGAATAAAGGTATTGAAGACTTTTCAATAATTGAATTAATAAAGATATAATCTATGTTAAATATGGTGTGAAAAAATTACAAAACAATAAAAATATATAGGATTATCTGTATATGAAAAATTATAATTATAATAGTTCAAATGAATATGAAAAAGCAATATGTTTCTTGGAGACAGGTTGTAATTGTAAATGTTTGAAAATGATTCTAAGAGAGAAGTTCGCCGAATTATGTAAAGTATTTCAAGCTCTCTCTAGATTCGAACAAGATATATTTATAATGGCCCAGCTGAAAGCAATGAATAATGAAGAAATAACTACCAGTCGACGTCTTAAAAAGAAAACACACTAATAAGCAAATATTTTACTATTGAGATCGCAATACATCTCTTTGCCAAAAAACTTATCTCAATATGTTAGGAATTGGTCACACTTATTTGAAAAACGTTTCACTTAGCAATGAATAGTATAATATCACGTATTCATGATAACATAAAATGAGTGTCACAATGGAAAACTAAAATAATCATTGATGTAAGTATTGCTACTGCTGTGAAGAATTTTCTTGAAAACTATATGGAAATTCATGAACTACCAAGTCCTGATAGAAATGTCAATTGTATTATTCAATCTCTTATACTTTTGTCAGCTGAAATGAGTTACAAATTAGTCTATCATGATTTTATTATAGATCTCAAAAATGATAGCACATTGAAATTGTTAAAATACAGGGGTGAATTAACAGAAACCAAGCAAATTATATATGTAATACATATATAATTTGCTTGGTTTCTGTTGACTCACCCCCATATGATGCATTTTACAAGTTATGACATTAATTAACATCTTATATTCAAATTATGAGTTCACGAACAAATTTGTGCAACACATGCCAACATTTTTAGAACAGCTTACAGTACAATGCTCACAAGAAAGAAGAAGCAAGAGATTTACTAAAAAAATTTAAAGAACATTTAATTAAAGCTAAGTTAGAGAGAAATTATTACAACAAAAATACGAAATTGGCAGAAGAACAAAGAAAATTAGTAGATAAGCAGTTTATAATAAGAGATAAAGCTAATTATTGTAGTATTAATACTATCACTCATTATAGTTATTATTGAGTGCAAAATGTTCATGTTCCATATTCTGATCAACAGGTAAGTAAAATTTATTATCTTAGTCTGCGTAAAGTGCATTTATTTGATATTCAAGATAAAGCAGTACACAAACAAATTAATTATATTCTTAATGAAGACGAAATTATCAACAAAAATTCTAATAATATACTAAGCATGATATTTGATAGAATTAAGAGATTAAATAAAAATGAAAAATATTTAAAAATTACTTGTGACAATGCAAGAGGACAGAATAAAAATAACATCACCATTTGATTTTATCTCTATTTGGTAATTTGTGATTATTATGAAAATATTAAATTAAATTTCATGATACCTGAACATACTAAATTTAAGTATGATGGTAATTTTGGATTGATTAAGAAATTATACTGCAAAACAACAGTAGATTGCATGGATCATATTGTTGAGATTGTAAAAAAATCAAGTACAGCTGGATTAAATAAAGCTCAGTGTTATGGCAATGGAAAAGATTTTCAGTACTTGAATTTTAATTCTGTGTTGGAAATTTTTTTTAAGAAATTGAATGGGTTGCAAAAATATCAGCATTTTCTTTTTAAAGCAACTAATCCTGGAATTGTTAAAGTTCAAATAGTTGCTAATGGTGCTTTTACTGAATTTAATTTATTGAAAACCAGAAAAGCAAGTGTTTCTGAAATTATCAAAAAAATTAAATCTTTCTCTATTTTTAATACTAACACCACCTCCATTAGATTACAAATATCAAGAGTACCTCTACAAAAATATTTATCTATTTGTCAGAGATGAATTTAAAGATATCACTTGTCCAAAGCCAGTTTATGCTGATGAGTAAAAAAAAATATTATATAAAAATAGGTAATAATATAGAATTTTGCACTTTACACTATAAAATTATTATTAAAGAGTTCAGTAAACTCTCTTTAGATAATTTTTATATGTCAACAACTACTCTTTATGAATTAATTAAACAAAAATCTCAAGAGTTAAGCAGACCCTTAAAAGTAATTGCTGACTAAGATGAATTATTACATCATTTTAAAGTAGCAGATATCTATGACTGTTATAATTTTAAAATTTGGTTTGAAAGATTTTGAGATAAGACACTAATAAGAAATTCTAATTTACCAATGGGGCTGAACACAAAGCAATAATATAGAGGAGGTTGAGGGTAATGGAAAAGAAGCAGAAGAAATTAGAAATGCATTCAAGAAGTATAAAGAAATTTTAAAGAAAATTAGACTTCTGAAGAATAAAAATCCTTCTCTTAAGGAGTATAAAAATGAAATAATAGCAATAAAAAAAAAGTATGGTGTAGAAATATCACTTTCTGAGCAACCTTCTGTTTATCTCTTTTTTATTTATTGTTAAGTAATTGTTTAAGATTTTAACAGAAGACTTAATTAATAGATTGGTGATTATTAGCTCATATAGACAAGGCAGAATTTCTGCTTCTATAGAAATGAAAAGAGAAGAATTTGAGAGAACTTGAGGCAAGTTTTCACAATGTGAATTAGAGCTTACTGAAATTATCAAAGTTAAAAATAGTTTTTCTTCTCGATGAAAAGTGTTGAAAAATAAGTATCCTGATTTTGATGTTCTTATTGATGATGATGTTTCTGTGATAGAAAGTGTTCTACAAAACTTTGCTAATCAATCTGAAAAAATTCTCATAATGCCAAACTACAAATATAATTATCATGTTCAAGCTCCTAATATTTATCATGTTAAGCAAGAAGTAAATGATTTAAAAGATGAAGATTTTACCAAAGCTGCTGAGAAACACAGAGCTAAAAAAGAGCAAGATAAATTAACTTCTTGCATTATTACTTTTGCAAAGAGAAACAATATTTGAAAACAATTTGCTTTTTATTTAGTCTTTATTGGTAAAATAGGAATTACTTTATTAGGATTAGGTATTTATTGAGTGTTAAATAAAAAGAAATCTTTAAGTAAGAAATAATTAGTATAAAGTTCTATATTGTTACCTAAAAATAAATTTATAAATCAAACTAAAATTGACTCTCTTTATGAATTAATTAAACAAAAATCCCAAGAAAAGGGCAGATCTTTAAAAGTTATTTTTGACTGAGATGAATATTTACAATTACCTAAACCATTTATTTTCTGAGAATTTTCACCAAAAAATTTATTTTTTTCAGAATATTTTTTGAAATTTTGAAGTAAAGCAAAGTTTACTTATTATAATCATGATTTTGGTACAAGAGAACACTTTGGGATAGCTAACTTCTCCTATATAGATCCAAAGGATTCCAATGAAAAAATTAATCATAAGAATCAACTTGATGAAGCAGCAAAAAGACAAAATATAATTTACAAGTCTCCTGATTTTTACAATAAAGTTTCTTTTATATTTATTGCTGAAGAATTATTACAATACTTAAAGAAAAAGTTAATTGGTGAATTAATTATAATGACTTCTTACAGAAAAGGTAAACATTCTTCTGGCGAAAATGTTAACAAAAGAAAAAACATTTGGCAAATTTTCTAACTGTAAACTTTATTCAATAGAAGTAACCTCTGATGAAAATGAGAGAGAAAAGTATTCTCCATATAGATGAGAAGTTGTGAATGAAAAATCTTCTGAGTTTGATATTTTTATTGATGACAATGCTTTAATACTTATCAAAATCAGAGAATTTTTTAGAAATAATCAGGATAAAGTCTACATTTTGCCTGCTTACAAAACTAATGAAAAAATTCAAGAAAAAAATATCTACCATGTAAAAAAAACTGTCTTCAATCTCAAAGATGAAGACTTTACAAAAGTAGCTGAAGAATACAAAGAGAAAACTATGACAAATAACAATAAATAAATTGATACTAAGTCTATTTTATTATAATCTGAACTTATAGCATTAGTATTATGTGATCTAGATCTTTTTTATGTATTACAAAAAAGAAAAAATAATAATAATTATTTGTCTCTTCAATCAATTTTTTTTTAATTTACTTTTCTTACATTTCTTCTAATTTTTATTTTTTTCTTGGTTCATTATAAGTTGAAGTTAATGTTTGTTTATTATTTATTATCTTTTGTTCTTCTTGATAAATTTCATAAGTAATTTTTTCTTGATCTAGATATTGCTGAAGCATTTGGATATCATTAATTTTGAAAACATAAGGAGCAATTTTTTCTCCTTGAGCTTTCTTTAGAATGCTTCTAATAGTACTGTAATTCTTTGGTTCATAGTGAATTTAATGTAAATTAGTTTCATATTAATATTTTTTATATAGAGATAATTCTATATTAATCATGTTATGATTTATATTCATCACATTTTGGTATGATAAAGTGAGCATTAAAATTAATAAGTTCATAAGTTATGAATGAGCACCATTATTACTTTTTAAACATCATTAGTCATACTGGTTAATTTTCTACAAAATCAGTCTCTCATTTATGTCACATAATAAAATATTTACTTTGTTTGATTTTGTTACAGTCTGCTCCATATGCAAGTTAAACGGGATGTTTTTATTTTTCTGGAATAGAGTCAGAATATAAGTGAAAGTTAGACAGATATAAAATTATATTTATTATTATATAATTATAGATTATGCTCTAAATGTTCTAAATATTCTATATACTAAATATTCTATATATTTATATTTGAATATTTTATTGCTTTTATAGTAATTGGAAAAATATCAGAATTGTAGTAAAGAAATATTAGAATTGATAGTA